AAGAATGTTGTATGGCCTAGCATATTGTCTGTCCTGGAGAGTATTCTGTGTGTGTTTGAAAAAAAAATTATTTTGCTATATTCTGTGGTTATTGGATAGCGTGTTCAATAAATATCAGATCAAGTTGTTTGATAGTATTTTTCTTATCTTATATATCCATGTAATGTAATTTTCGATAAGCGCTTGGATTTCTGGTTGCCATTTTGCTGTTTTTTTTTTGAGTCTCATGTCTTCCTCTGTTCCTCATTTCTGCCTTCTTTTGTGTTAAATATTGTTTGCATGTGTACCATTTTAAATTCTCTGTTGATTTCTTAACTACATATTTTTTAGTTATTTTTCAAAGAAAATTTTACTACCTATAGTCACAATGCTGTACATAAGATCCCCAGAACTTATTCATCTTATAACTGAAAGTTTATGCCATTTGTCCAACATTTCCCTATTTCCCCCACCCCATAACCCCTGGCAACCACCATTCAACTCTCTGCTTCTATGAGTTTGGCTTTTTAGATTCCACAAATAAGTGAGATTATATAGTGTTTGTGTTTATGTGTCTAGCTCATTTCACTTTGCATAATGTCCTCCAGATTCATCCATGTTGTTGCAGATGGCAAGGTTTTCTTCTTTTTTGTGGCTCAATAGTGTTCCATTGTGTATATAGATATATACACACACAAAACATTTTCTTTATTTATATATTGATAGACACTTAGGTTGTTTTCATGTCTTGGCTATTGTGAATAATGCTGCAGTGAACATGAGTATGCAGATATTTCTTTGTTTATGGTTGCTCTAGGGATTACAATATGCATCTTTATCACAGTCTACTTTAAGCTAATACTGACTTGATTCAGTTATTAAAATATATAGTGCTTTTACTTCAGTACATCTCTACTTCCTGTGTTCTCCTTTGTGCTATTATTGTCGTAGATATCCTATCTATATAGAAGTGCCAACAATACAGAGCAATACTGTTGCTTTATGCAATCTTATGTATTAAAGAAATTAAGAGAAAAAAACAAAAAAGTGTTTATATTGCCTTTTATATTTAC